GAAAGAGCATGCTCCTTTGATATCATAATCATATTTAAAGAATTCCAAACCAGTAATTTAATCTTCCAACTTCATACTGTTGGAATGACATGGAACCTAGGTCTCTGAAAACTGGGACTATGTACTTTTAAATGAGAGAAAATATGCACAGGGTCTTTCCCGATTGCTGAATTTAATAAATCACCAACAACTCAGTGTCAATACAACACAAAGCATTTGCAAAGTGAAATGGTTCATCTTTTAAAGATACCAGTTTCATTAAGTTGATGAAAGTAGTGCTGGGCAAATGTATGTGAAGCCAGTAATAAATGAAAATGTGGCCATATTAGAACTAATGGATACAAATCCACAAGGATGATGATAAGACAGAAATTTAAAGAGTGAGAATGACAAATATCAAGAGATGAGAAGCCCTTTTTAAGACCATATTATAAAAGAAGCCAAATTTAAAGAGAAAGATGTTGAATAGTTATTGGATTTTGTTGAAAAAATTATGCCAGGACAATTCATTTATTCAAATAATTACAACTGTAACTTAAATTCTGTTACATATAAAGTACATTATTTTAATAATTTTTAGTTTTATTTTTCCAGAAATAATCCTAATATAATCTATATATTCCTCCCCTCCATCTACTACTATGTACCAAGTGAAGTACTTTCAGCAGACCATTTTCCAGGATCAATTATCTTCACAGAATAAGAGTCTTCTGATTCTAAATGACTGGTCATTTATTTTCATTGCAAATTACAGGACAACTAATATTTTAAAGTCTACTAAATTTCAGACTTCACTTTTGACCCCCCTAAATCAGCAGGTTGAAACAGAATCTTCATTGTTATACATTTCTTGAATAGCTGTCATGTAAAAGGAAGCCTAGGTCATAGTCGTTAAATATAAGATGCCTCAGATGACAAGACTGAGCTCAAGATATACACAGCAAACCTAAAATATTTTCAAATATTCAGCTCAGTTAAAAATTATTTTAAAAAAGGAAAATGAAGTACTTACTGAATTATCATGTTTCTTATATAACATACAATATTATTTTTGGTAGATCTCTACAAATTTTTAATTTATTTTATTATTGTTTATTCAATATAATATTTGGCAATTTTCAGAAAGGAAACAGAGCAGAATAAGAGAAATATTCTATAATTTAAATATCTACATTAATAGAGGAAGAAATGAAGTGAAAGGCAACCAATTTAAATGACAATGTTTCTTTGTGCTCTGGTGTATGACCATCCTTTCAATAGCTGATGCTCAGCAATTTTCCCTTGATGTCAGATAATCCACTTAGATCACCTTTACTTCTGAGTTTTAACATAGACTAATAACATACTTTGCATTTCCTTATTATTCTCACAAGAAACTGATTCACTTTCATATTTGGTAATTCATCTATCTCCTCTAGAGACTAGATGCTAGAAAAACATTTAAGTGGATTTTCATACTTTCTTGTTCAGACTTAAAGTTTGCATAACTAACTGTACATCTTTGTCAAACACACAGTTTCTGGATATTTCTCAGGTTCTTATTTTCACCCATTTCTGCTTTAAGTGAACTGAAATTACCTTTCAAGTACATGAAATTCATGAATTATTAATAAAGTCTTTAAATCTTTTGTGGCACTTAATTTCCTCGCAAATTTTACTTTAGAGAATTTATATGTCTCTGTTTGAACTACGCTGGAATCCTTTTGGGATGAAAAGATATTTACCTTGTGCGTCTGATAAATGATGATTGCATTATCAGCTAATGTTTCCACCACATGAAAGTTTTCTATAGTTGCTGCAATGAAGAAAAAATGTTAGTAGTCAAAAAAGATATATTACCTTTTCCCAGAATGTGATTATTGAGAAAGTCAATTACGAATGGACATTATAGTAAAATGAACAGGATCCTGCCCTACGTAGGCTAAGTCCAAATGGAAAGCGGTTTAGTATTAGGGCTACAGATGGTGGCTGAGAGACCTAATCACCAGGAAATCTCATTAGCTTCCATTGCAAGAAAGCAATTCTAATCACCATTTCATTACTAGGGCACAAATTATTCCCTAACACTATGACCCCTCCCCTCCCTATAATCCTTAATTTATTGAAGCTGAATAAGCTGTTCTATTTAGGTTTAGGTGACTATGTTTGTGAGAGTGTCAAACTGCCATTGATAAACATGTTGTTCAGAAGTACCCATATTTATGAAATTTGATGCCTGAGGGGATCAAATAACTCTATAAACAAACCACAAAAGGATTCATCTACACTTTATGATGGAAACAAAACAGTCTAGGAAAAGAGAAGATGATAAAACAGAAACCTTTTATTTTAGTCCTGGTTTTCCAATAATTAGTTCTGTGATCTATGACAAGTCACTTGAGCTATCTGAATTTTACTTTATTATCTACCTATCACACAGGATTATTGAGGTAGCAGATCAAATGCTATATACCTTACTGAGAAGCATTCTGTACAGTGAAAAGCTCTATTTAAATGTAAGGTATTATCAGTTCCCTATACGATTCTCCAGATATTTTCTATATTGACTTTGTAAACCACAGACCAGATGTAGAAAGCCAGGTTACATTTGGTATTAAATTCAAAGTAATAATTTTATCAAAACATACTAATAATGGCAGCTTACTTTCCCAATCATTGCGAACATCAACATTCCAGAAGTAATTGCAGACCTCGTGTCCCGTAACACCTTTAACTGCGTGGGTAGCTTTCAAAGGATCCAAAACAATCCCGTTTTCTTCTACTTCTCTTCTGTATACCTAGAGGATATATTTTAAAACATGTTAATACATATTGATAATTACCTTAAATGTAAATGGATTAAATGCTTCAACCAAAAGACACAGACTGGCTGAATGGATACGAAAAACAAGACCTGTATATATGTTGTCTACAAGAGACCTACTTCAGACCTAGGGACACATACAGACTGAAAGTGAGGGGATGGGAAAAGATATTCCATGTAAATGGAAATCAAAAGAAAGCTGGAGTAGCAATTCTCATATCAGACAAAATAGACTTTAAAGACTATTACAAGAGACAAAGAAGGACACTATATAATGATCAAGGGATCAATCCAAGAAGAAGATATAACAATTGTAAATATTTATGGACCCAACATAGGAGCCCCTCAACACATAAGGCAAATGCTAACAGCCATAAAAGGGGAAATCGACAGTAACACAATCATAGTAGGGGACTTCAACACCCTACTTTCACCAATGGACAGATCATCCAAAATGAAAATAAATAAGGACACACAAGCTTTAAATGATACATTAAACAAGATGGACTTAATTGATATTTATAGGACACTCCATCCAAAAACAACAGAATACACTTTCTTCTCAAGTGCTCATGGAACATTCTCTAGGACAGATCATATCTTGGGTCACAAATCAAGCCCCAGTAAATTTAAGAAAATGTAAATCGTATCAAGTATCTTTTTCGACCACAACGCTATGAGACTAGATACCAATTACAGGAAAAAACCTGTAAAAAATACAAACACATGGAGGCTACACAATACACTACTTAATAACCAAGAGATCACTGAAGAAATCAAAGAGGAAATCAAAAAATACCTAGAAACAAATGACAATGAAAACATGACAACCCAAAACCTATGGGATGCAGCAAAAGCAGTTCTAAGAGGGAAGTTTATAGCAATACAATCCTACCTCAAGAAACAAGAAACATCTCAAATAAACAACCTAACCTTACACCTAAAGCAATCAGAGCAAGAAGAACAAAAAAAAAAACCCCAAAGTTAGCAGAAGGAAAGAAATCATAAAGATCAGCTCAGAAATAAAAGAAAAAGAAATGAAGGAAACAATAGCAAAGATCAATAAAACTAAAAGCTGGCGCTTTGAGAAGATAAAATTGATAAACAAAATTGATAATCCATTAGCCAGACTCATCAAGAAAAAGAGGGAGAAGACTCAAATCAATAGAATTAGAAATGAAAAAGGAGAAGTAACAACTGACACTGCAGAAATACAAAGGATCATGAGCGATTACTACAAGCAGCTATATGCCAATGAAATGGACAACCTGGAAGAAATGGACAAATTCTTTGAAAAGTACAACCTTCAGAGACTGAACCAGGAAGAAATAGAAAATATAAACAGACTAATCACAAGCACTGAAATTGAAACTGTGATTAAAAATCTTCCAACAAACAAAAGTCCAGGACCAGATGGCTTCACAGGCGAATTCTATCAAACATTTAGAGAAGAGCTAACACCTATCCTTCTCAAACTCTTCCAAAATATAGCACAGGGAGGGATACTCCCAAACTCATTCTATGAGGCCACCATCGATACCAAAACCAAAGATGTCACAAGAAAGAGAACTACAGGCCAATATGACTGATGAATACAGATGCAAAAATCCTCAACAAAATACAAGCAAACAGAATCCAACAGCACATTAAAAGGATCATACACCATGATGATCAAGTGGGGTTTATCCCAGGAATGCAAGGATTCTGCAATAAACACAAATTAATCAACGTGATACACCATATTAACAAACTGAAGGGGAAAAACCATATGATCATCTCAATAGATGCAGAAAAGGCTTTTGACAAAATTCAACACCCATTTATAATAAAAACCCTCCAGAAAGTAGGCATAGAGGGAACTTATCTCAACATAATAAAGGCCAGATATGACAAACACACAGCCAACATCATTCTCAATGGTGAAAAACCGAAACCATTTCCACTACAATCAGGAACAAGACAAGGTTGCCCACTCTCACCACTATTATTCAAAATAGTTTAGGAAGTTTTAGCCACAGGAATTAGAGAAGAAAAAGAAATAAAAGAATCCAAATTGGAAAAGAAGTTAAACTGTCACTGTTAGCAGATGACATGATACTATACATAGAGAATCCTGAAGATGCTACCAGAAAACTACTTGAGCTAATCAATGAGTTTGGTAGAGTAGCAGGATACAAAATTAATGCACAGAAATCTCTCGCATTCCTATACACTAATGATGAAAAATCTGAAAGAGAAATTAAGGAAACACTCCCATTTACCATTGCAACAAAAAGAATAAAATACCTAGGAATAAACCTACTGAAGGAGACAAAAGACCTGTATGCAGAAAACTGTATGTCACTGATGGGAGAAATTAAAGACGATACAAATAGATGGAGAGATATACCATGTTCTTGGATTGGAAGAATCAACATTGTGAAAATGACTATACTACCCAAAGACTACAGATTCAATGCAATCCCTATCAAACTACCAATGGTATTTTTCACAGAACTAAAACAAAAAATTTCACAATTTGCATGGAAACACAAAAGACCCCAAACAGCCAAAGCAATCTTGAGAAAGAAAACCAGAGCTGTTGGAACCAGGCTCCCAGACTTCAGACTAAACTACTTAGCTACAGTAATCAAGACAGTATGGTACTGGCACAAAAACAGAAATATAGATCAATGGAACAGGATAGAAAGCCCAGAGATAAACCCATGCACATATGGTCACCTTATTTTTGATTTATCCTTTAGGAGGCAAGAATATAAAATTGAGAACAGACTCTTCAATAAGTGGTGCTGGGAAAACTGGACAGCTATATGTAGAAGAATGAAATTAGAACACTCCCTAACACCATACACAAAAATAAACTAAAAAACGATTAAAGACCTAAATGTAAGGCCAGACACTATAAAACTCTTAGAGGAAAACAGGCAGAACACTCTCTGACATAAATCATAGCAAGATCCTTTTTGACCCACCTCCTAGAGACATGGAATAAAAACAAAAATAAACAAATGGGACCTTATGAAACTTAAAAGCTTTTGCACAGCAAAGGAAACCATAAAGAAGACGAAAAGACAACCTGCACAATGGGAGAAAATATTTGCAAATGAAGCAACTGACAATGGATTAACCTCCAAAATTTACAAGCAGCTCATGCAACTCAATATCAAAAAAACAAACAACACAATCCAAAAATGGGCAGAAGAACTAAATAGACATTTCTCCAAAGAAGATATACAGATTGCCAACAAACACATGAAAGAATGCTCAACATCACTAATCATTAGAGAAATGCAAATCAATACCACAATGAGGTATCACCTCACACCAGTCAGAATGGCCATCATCAAAAAAATCTACAAAGAATAAATTCTGGAGAGGGTGTGGAGGGGAGGTAACCCACTTACACTGTTGGTGGGAATGTAAATTGATACAGCCACTATGGAGAACAGTATGGAGGTTCCTTAAAAAACTAAAAATAGAACTACCATATGACCCAGCAATCCCACTACTGGGTATATACCCCGAGAAAACCATAATTCAAAAAGAGTCATGTACCACAGTGTTCATTGCAGCTCTATTTACAATAGCCAGGACATGGAAGCAACCTAATTGTCCCCTGACAGATGAATGGATAAAGAAGATGTGGCACATATACATATAATGGAATATTAGCCATAAAAAGAAACGAAATTGAGTTATTTGTAGTGAGGTGGATGGACCTAGAGTCTGTCATACAGAGTGAAGTAAGTCAGAAAGAGAAAAACAAATACCATATGTTAATACATACATATGGAATCTAAAAAAAAAAGGATCTGAAGAACCTAGGGGCAGGGCAGGAATAAAGACGCAGACATAGAGAATGGACTTGAGGACACGGGGAGGGGGAAAGGTAAGCTGCGACGAAGTGAGAGAGTGTCATGGACTTATAAATACTACCAAATGTAAAATACATAGCTAGTGGGAAGCAGCCACATAGCACAGGGTGATCAGCTTGGTCCTTTGTGACCGCCTAGAGGGGTGGAATAGGGAGGGTGGGAGGGAGATGCTAGAGGTTGGAGATATGGGCATATATGTATATGTATAGCTGCTTCACTTTGTTATAAAGCAGAAACTAACACACCATTGTAAAGCAATTATACTTCAATAAAGATGCTAAAAAAACAATCAAAAAACCCCAAACATGTTTAAAAAAAATCCAACCCCAAAACTACAAACTTGAAGTGATGTTTTATCATTTAGCAGCTTTTTAGAATTTTATGTATGAAAATATACTTATGGAACATATTCTGCCAAAAGTTTAAAATTTCAAATTATTACCACATAAAAATATTTAAAACTACAAATCCGGGCTTCCCTGGTGGCGCAGTGGTTGAGAGTCCGCCTGCTGAGGCAGGGGACACGGGTTCGTGCCCTGGTCCAGGAAGGTCCCACATGCCGCGGAGCGGCTGGGCCCATGAGCCATGGCCGCTGAGCCTGCGCGTCCGGAGCCTGTGCTCCGCGACGGGAGAGGCCACAACAGTGAGAGGCCCGCGTACCGCAAAAACAAAAACAAAACCAAAAAAACTACAAATCCAAGGTAAACACCAACTATGAAACATATATATATATGATGAATGACTAAATTACTGTGAGTTGTTGAAGGAGTAAATGTATCAATTTAAATTAGGCATTATTTACTGAATATTCTCAAAGACCATTCAACGTGGCTAAGAAGGCCAAATAAAGCTAGTTGGAACATAATCTCCTTAGGGACAATGACTTAAGGCAGCTCTGGTCAATGCTGTATCCCCACCATCTAGAAGAGTATCTGAAACACAGCAGGCACTTAATTATTTGTTGAACCAATGATGGAAAGCTAAAATTGCTTAAAGATCAATGATATCTTGCTTTTAAATACTGAGGCTACAAACCTAAAGGTCTATCTTGCTTTAAATACTGAGACTGTATACATAAACTGCTGAACAAAATTAATTACTTCAAAATTATAGAGGGTTTGGTACTTTAGACAGCTCTGTAATAAGTTCTTTTGAAAAATGAATAAACATGCTATCACAGGGAAAACCAGCTCTCAATTTATGGAGTGCCTATGGTGCCAAACACTGTGAGGCATTTCACATTATTTTTCTTTTACAATCTCTCTCTCCAAAGTACCTTTCCTTACATACTTATTCATGTTATTGGGACTGATATTTTCCCAGTCATGGAAACTGGGAACTCTAGACTTTTGATTCCTTCCCTCACATTTCATGTAGCTATTAAGCTCATTACTAATCTTCTATAAGACATCCAAAAGCTTGACTTTTCTACTATTGGATACTTTTTTTAATATTTTTATTTTATTTATTTTTGGCTGCATTGGGTTTTTGTTGCTGTGTGCGGGCTTTCTCTAGCTGCAGCGAACGGGGGCTACTCTTTGTTGCGGTGCGTGGGCTTGTCATTGTCGTGGCTTCTCTTGTTGTGGAGCGTGGGCTCAGCAGTTGTGGTGCATGTGCTTAGTTGCTCTGGGGCATGTGGGATCTTCCTGGACCAGAGCTAGAACACGTGTCTCCTGCACTGGCAGGAGGATTCTTAAACACTGTGCCACCAGGGAAGCCCTGGATACTTTTTTTAGGTAAGCTTTCATGACCTCATACCTGACTCTCTGAAGTGGTTTTCTTGGTCTCTAGTTTCATCCCTATCAGCCTAGTCCTCCAAAAATGTTACTTTGTGTACAATGGCTAGCCTACTGCTACAGACAACAGAAAATTCTGTTTAGTAGGTTATTTTATACTCCCCATAATCCAGCCCCAATTTCTCTCTAAAGTTGTAGGAGAACTTTTTCTCTACCACTCATTCCACGTGGAAGACCATCATCTACACTATCACTCCTGGTTTCTCTTCAGCCTTTCACTTCCTCCTCCTTGGGGGGAAATGGGGACATCTGAATGGTGAGCACAGAAGGAAGACTAGGCAGGCCTGGCTCAACCCCTTCTGTGGACAGGATGTATGCTGGTCTGCTTTTGGGGCTTGCTCTTGTGGGGGAAGGCCTGGGACTATCCAGCTATGTCAGAAATATTATGTTTAGGGGACTTCTCTGGAGGTCCAGTGGTTAAGAATCCACCTTCCAATGCAGGGGACGTGGGTTCGATCCCTGGTGGGGAACTAAGATCCCACATGCCGTGCGCTGTAACTACTGAGCCCCCAAGCTCCAACCAGAGAGCCCACGTGCTCTGGAGCCCGTGTGCCACAACTAGAGAGAAGCCTGCGCACCGCAATGAAAGATCCCGCGTGCTGCAACAAAGATCCCACATGCCGCAACTAAGACCCGACACAGACAAAAATAAATAAATAAAATATTTTTTTAAAGTACTATGTTTAATTCTGGGGTAACATATTAGCAAGACCTCATGGCAGCTGGTCTTCATGCTCTCCAATCAGCTTATTAGAATTATAACATTTTGGTATCTCATTTGCATATCTCCTCTATCTTATTTCTTAATTTCTTCCATATTCAGGAGGAGAGGAAATCCCAACATCTAATGCTGTATCTCATTTGCTAGAATAATTCTGGTCAAAAGTCTATACAAAACTCCTGAATACAAAATTTGCTTTGAAGTTTTAGCTCATGTTATATTTCTTTTCTAAAATGCCCTCACCTCACCTTTGTCATAACCTTGTTTCCATTTCTAGACACAGTTCAAATGCTCCTCAGTGTAAAACAATCTGTCTCAAATCAGAGATCTCCTTCTTTTCCAATTCTTCTCCACTATTCACCTGTACTTTTCACTCACTGTTATCCAACGGAGCTAATTTTTTTTTTTTTTTTGCGGTACGCGGGCCTCTCACTGTTGTGGCCTCTCCCGTTGCGGAGCACAGGCTCCGGACGCGCAGGCTCAGCGGCCATGGCTCACGGGCCCAGCCGCTCCGCGGCGTGTGGGATCTTCCCGGACCGGGGCGCGAACCCGTGTCACCTGCATCGGCAGGTGGACTCTCAACCACTGCGCCACCAGGGAAGCCCTAAGTAATCTTTTAAATGTCAATGTCCCCTTTCTCCAACGAAAGTTTCAGCTTGCAGGGAGTCTTATTAAACATCTCTTTATTGTTAGCATAGCACCTCGGGCATGAAGTAATTCAAAGTTCAATGCTGCTGCTGCTGCTTTTCAACCCAGCTCTCAATCTCTTTTTCCTTGCTCTTACTGTCTTCTGTGTTTAGGGATGTGAGCAAGATTAGCTAACCAATGTCCAAATATCAAAAAAAGATGCAGTGAGAGAAAGACCAAGAAGTGAGGTACAGACCAAAGAGGGAAAAAAGTGACACCTGGGCACAACATTTAGTATATTAAAAGAGAGAAATATCCGAAGAAAGAGACATCAGCTAATTATGACCTATTCATACTGAAGCCCCCAAACTATTTTCTCCATGGCCTAGGTAAAACAGAATGATCTGTGCACAGATTTATATTATGATCATAAAGAAATTATGTAAAAGCTAAAGCAGGGAAGCAAAAGGACATTTTATTTCTCAATATTTAGTGCTTCTTTGATCACATGTAATAATTTATTTAAAAGAAAATTTTAAATGCTATCTTACTATTAAGATATTGATATATCTTACTTATATCAATAGTAATAATATAGTATGATTGCAACAGGGCTGCAACTAGCAACCTACAACCATACACTGGGAATTACCTTCATTTCTCCTTCTTCTACAACCAACTGCCAATTGGCATCTCCACCTACATCCTGTAATGAGTAAGTCATGTGGTTCTGCACCATCTCTTCAACCTTAAAAAGAAAAATAGAGCCATAAGAATCCTCCTCCAATTAATAGCTATGTCATAATCTCTAAAACAGAATGGTATTCAGTTTACTTCAGTTCAGAAATGATGTTCTTAGAAAGCTAAGCGACCAAATGCACAAAGGTTAGTATGTTTTATATAGTGTTGAAGAGTTTTAGTCCACATTCCAGATATCATATCCAGGTTAATGACAGGAAGGAGAAATGCGGGGAAGGAAGGTGCTTCACTCTAGTAACATATTGGACTAATGTGCATCAAGTGACCAAAAAAATAATTATTCCTTCATCATAAAATGCATCCTGACAGAGATAATGTCTTAAAGCATAAAATCATGGAACATTAAGGGTAAAAGGGGCACAAAGAGATGACCTAGTCCAATGTTCCTATATTTAAGACTATATAGAGATATTAGAAAGCTTGTTACTTGTCAAGACTTCTCTACAAAAAGCTAAGAAGATTTTCGTTATTTCACTGATAAGCTCCTCTTTTATCATGAATATAAGCCAACTTAAAAAATAACCAATCCCTCTACATATCTGATTCCAATTTCATTGTTCTAAACTCTTTTAGGGACAATGCTAATAATCATACACACAAAGATTTGCAAATTATCACCTTTTATTAATAGTTCCTTCTTTCTAAATTTCTAACTAAATTTCTTACTAAATTTCTTTTACTAAATTTAAATTGCAACCTCTGCTTTTAACTATCAAATTACCCCTACCCATCTTTTATAAGCAAATAAGGTCAAACAGTTCACACTCCCAGAATCCTCAATCAGATTTATTGGTTAAGATTTCATTTAAGTGTTCTTTGGAAACCTTCCTATTATGAAACATATTTTTAAACAGAACTGAAGTGACAGAAAGATCATCTCTGAAGGAACTGGCACCTTTACCATCTACGCATAGACACTTAGTTTCTAAGTTCTATTTTCTAAACTTTTACTCATAATTTTGTTTTACCTAGTAATATTATTAAGAGAAGGCAGAAAAGAGTTGAAAAATATGCATATTATATACTTCAATTTAAAGATTTATTCCTAAGTTTAATTACTTATTTTACATAAAGTCTACTGCATTTGTCAGGGAAACATAAGAACCAGGTTTACATGTGTTTTGAAATAAATACATGAATGCTTTGGGGGCAGAGATCTTAAAATTATTCACCCTGGGGATATAATTTTTCTACACAAAAGGATGTTATCAATATGTTATCGTGATGTGTAAACCAAGTTTTCTGGATTTCAGAGTGCAATTTTGGTTACTGAAAGTAGTTATGGCTTTAAGTATCTCTTTAATTGGCAATGATCACCAGAAAAGTTTTTGATAAAAATGATTATGAGGAAATTCTACAATCTAGTTTTGTACTAAATAAACATTACATAATATCTTATTTCTTTATTCATAACCTTTAATGTGAATGGTGCTGGGTTAGAGACTTGAAAGAAATTTTAAAACATGACTACTAGTACCTCTATAATTTTATAAAGCCTTAATTAGAAAACATAACTTCAGAGGCTGACTGGAAAAAACCTTTGTGCCTCTAAAATTTTGAAATCTGCTTTGAGACGGTAAGGATGACTGATGTAGGACTCCAAGTTACAAATAATACATACAAAACGTATTTTATTACCAAAAGACGAAGAACAAAGAAAGTCCCAGTTAGTATGCATAAATAAAGCCTCAACAGTAGTGCTGGCTTGATTCATTTGTCTGTGTCACATCATGATTGGGAAAAATTTTTTTAATGATTTTTAGATCCCAAGATCTTAAAAAATCTTCAGATCTGAATACGTATGTACTTTTAGGTACGACACTGGGAGTTAAGAACACCCATATGTATTATGAGATTAGCAGCAGAAAGAAATGTTTCCCCCAAATAGGCCCTACTTTAAATGGATTACTTGTGAAAGAAGAATGTTAAGGATTTTATTCTGCTAAAAAACAAAGAGAGTTCTGTATAAAAAAACTTTAGTGCCATTTAGCTCTTTTGTTGAAAAATATTGCAGGTAATTGTGTTTCTGTTTAGGAGATTGTTCCTAAATTAGTTATTTCAAATGTTTGAAAAATGAGGTGTTTTTGATTTATGCTTCGGTGCAAATAGAAACCAGATTCCACAAATATAAATTGATAGAAGGTAACTTAAGTTTGAAACAATGTACCGTAAATGCATTCAACATTGTCTTTCTAGATAGATGAAAGAATAGTTACCACTGCATCTATGGAAAAGTTTTCAGTCTTTTGTCCTCATTTACTTCCTTAAGAGGGCTTGAAAAAGTCCAACAGAGAAACAAACAAGATGTATTCAGTACTGTGCTCCTAGGAAATTAACGAAACTATCGAAGTACCCAATTACTGTACTAACCATGTCTGCAAAGCCTTCATCAAGGAATCTTTATCCATTATGGTATATTCCCCGAGGTAATAACATTAAGGTTAAAAAGAAAGATGATACTGGTAAAATTTCACTATTATGAATTTTATGTTAAAATATGCAGTAGCCAATGTTTCTATAGTGGCAATGACCTGGGCACATGTGACAACACTCACATTTCAGATATAAACCTAAAGATGCTCCATTTACTGTTTTCAGTTACGACTCTACATCAAAAATAAGTGGGAAACTAGGGACCATTAATTGGATGACAAGAATAAACATATGCCAAATTTTCTACCTTATCAGGTTCAAAACTTGATTACTAGAAAATAATGTTACTAGAAACATCTATCACTTAAAAAAAAAGGCTGAATTTTACACTAAGCATAATTTCAGGAATCATGCCCTTGATTTTTTTGTACCTTACATACAGCATCTTCATACCAAATGAACTATGAAAAAACTGAAGACAAAACAGATTTGAAACAGAGGTGATGGCACTCCAATTCTTACCTTTTTCTTTCACTTCACATTTGAATCACTCAGTATGTCATTTTAGGAGGCTAGATCTAATTGGATCTTTCTAATATTATTAATATAGAAACTTTAAAAGAAAATTGTCCTTTGATGGTACAACAAAATTGTATTGAACAAAAGTCTCAGAAGGGCTCAAACAGAGCTTGGATCTCTTTTTCTTACCCATGTGAAAGGAATACAACTATGTTTATTGTTACAGAGTCATAAAGGGATCTGTTGGATACAATAATTTATTAATAACAAATTAACAGTGTACTGTTAACCCAAAAGAAAAATGGTCAAGGACATGAATCGCCAATTCACTGAAAAATGCAATTAGCCAAGAAGAAAAATAACACTTTTATTCTATCATATTGGCAAATATTAACTGAATAATAATATTCAGTGTCAGTATAGCAAAAGAAAACTGACCTGGGAGTGTAGCTGGTTCAACTTTTCTAATGAACAGTTTGGCAATAAGAATAAAAAACTTCAGTGTGTGCATGGCCTTTGTCCTAAAAATTCTACTTCTAGAAATATATTCTAAGGAAATAATTGGATAAGTATACAAAGATGTACATACAAGGATGCTGTATATACAAGGATGCCCATGTAGCACTATTTATTAAATAACAGAGACTAACTGAAAATAAACTAAATGTTCAATATTAGGTGAGTAGGTAAATCTAGTATTCATATCCATACAATAGACAAGGAGATCTAGACCTATATTTACTGACGGGAACATGGGCCTAATTATATGTGTGCTTTAAAAAAACAAAACAGCTAGTTACAAAACAGTATATATAGAATTACCTACTTTGGTAGAAAAAAACAATTACTAAGGTGTGTATAATCAATATGTGACTGATTTTATTTAATTTACATATATGTGGAAAAAGGATATGCATAAGAATATTAATAGTGATCTAGTAATTTCATTTTATTTACTCTACTTTCTAGTTCTGCTAAATTAGCATTCTATTACTTATAGTGATACAATAAAAAAGGGAGGGGTAAAATAAATAATTACCACAACAATGATGTTACCATGCACAAAAGTGGGAAAAAGCTTTACACAGAATTGTTTTTGCAGTGGTGATGCTCATCATATATTAACACACAGATGTACTACCCACCCTTTGATTTTCTTTTTTTCTTTCCCCCAACTAAGGATGCTTTTTATTTCCCTTTGATTTCTGAGGTGACATCTTTAGGTGGTAACTGTTATAGAAATAAATGTGGCCAAGAAGATCCATTTATAAATCTAAGTCCTTCCTACTTTCTATACACTTTCATTGAGAGCTACTTCATTTCCAACATCTGTCCATCAGACAGATGCAGATTCATGTGTTGCTACTAATTTCCTAGTAGAGTCACATATTTTATTTGGAGTTATTTTCAGGGCATCTCTCAGTTCTACATTTAAGTATCTTACTCAAGCAGGACTATGACCATTATTTCAACAAGAACAAAACAGTCATAAGCCAAGACTTATAAGTAGATAGCAAAGCCAAATTAATCAATAGTTAACTGCCAGAGCCCAAGTCTGCTAATGACAACAAATACTTTAGCAAGGAAAATAAATACTTGAAGACCTCAATGTTGTTTTCCTTCATTTCCTCTTCTGGAATATAAAACAGTAGAATAATCAAAAGTTTAAAAACAGAATCGGATCAATAACGAGCATCATACATTAGGAAAAAAATACCAGAAAGATTTTTCTCAACTTATACACAAAAGTTACACAAAAAATTAGGTAAAGAAGCTACAATTTGACAGTCTTATAAAAATGTGGACACCTGCTTCTCAGTGATAGTTCACCTGTATTCAAAGGCTTTCAGCTGTTTTATATATCTCTATAGCAAGGCCCAGGTCTGGGTTCTGAAGCCCTAATTCTTAGGCACCTATCAGCGGCTCAAATTCTTTTCCTGCTCTCATTACATTTTTAAAAATTTATAGCCTGTATATTTCTATATTTTAAGGGAAAATGGTGACCAGTACTGATGCCTTTTAGTTAGTCTGTTAATTTATTATTTTAATGCAAAGTGGAGCTTAATTAAGAATAAACCAAAGTCTCCCAGTATAATCTAGTTTGGCCAGTGATTTATTGTGAGTATAAGTCACTATTTTAAAAGCATACATAAATGAATGAGCATTAGGTAAGAAATATTGTAATAAATCTGTCTAAGGGTAATTTCTGATGAGGAACTGATGCATCTCTTTCCCAAAAATGTTCAAGGAAAAAAAAAGCTACAAAAGTCAGAAAAAAATTTAAGTCTTAAACTTAATTTTCTTCTTTATTACATAGTTGAAAACTAATGTAAATTTTATTTGTATGCCTGTTTTAAACTGACTTAAAAAAATTTTTTTATTGGAACACTCTGATAGAGAAAAAATAATGTAGATAATTTTGATTAGCTCAAAGAAATAATATTATAATGATAAAAGCTCACTTACTGAGCACTTACTACATGCTAGGTTCTAGCTCTATCACATTCCTAGCTAGATGACAGAAGCAAAGCACAGAGGAGTTAGAAAAGTTGTCAAACATCATGCAGGAAACAGGATTTAAACTTGGTCATTTTGACTATAGAGCTCAGGTTCTTAACATACTATGACATATTGCAATCCAATAAAATGCAAACACCATAAAAATACAAAGTTGAATGGCAAATATGTGAAGATTAAAAAAATTTTTTTAACCTAATGCTGATGCTAAAAAAATATTCCTCCATTGATACTTTGATTTTATTATGAGGGCAGAGACTGCAAGCATCCAGCTTCCTGTCCTAAATTCCTAACCCGTGCTGATATTAAATAATTTAAAATCAATTTCCATAGATTTATCATATGGACTGGAATACTCATTTCCAGGGATAATTTGCCAAAGCAAAATGCAACCTGTTCAATGAAGCTTAGTATAATGGTAATGAGACAAATTTTATTTAAAAAATTATTTCCCTGTTGAAAATATTATGAGATATTTTAAATTAGGTTAGAAGTAAGGCTTGAAACCTGCTTTAATGCTATAACATATCCTATAGACCATGTCCACAAAAGTTGCTGAATCCTGTCTGAAGAAACAGATATCACAGGATAGTTAAAAACCAGGTACCTTCTCTCGTTTCAATTCAATTTAACATCTTTCAGGAGTATCTCCTATATGGCGAAATTCCACGCTATTCACAATAGAGGATACAAAGGGCACATGCAAGCCTGACAGAGGAACTATTTAGCAGATAAGGAAGGCTTTCTTTAATGCTTGATGTTACTACTTAAAATTCAAAACCAAAACAAGTGGCCTAACCAAAAGATTTCTAGGAACTGGGAAAGCAGGCTGAAATATAGCACAGAAAGACTCAAGTCCACTCTATACATTCATACAGTACCTGGGAGCTGAATCTGTGAACATCGTCAGAGGCACTGACTAGATCAATGGAAGACATGGAGGAAGAGCGACTATAGGGCTACCAGAGACAGACAAAGAAAAAACCAAGTAATCAGAACAAAGGCACAACAGAGCATTCAGTACCAACTTCCAAACACAAGATAAAGAAAGAGAGAACAAAGCACTATATGAAACAAGCTCAGCAGCAAGTGCTGACTTCATGCACCTATTATGTGTTATGCTCCAAAATCGAATGCAGTGCTTCCAATAATACAAAATAATACCACTTAACCCCAAAGGAAAAAGAGATCTAATATCACTGGCTATGCTTCTGGTTAACTATTTTGGACAAGCCACTCCCTATTCCCCCACCCTTCTTTCCCCCTTAAATAAAAAAGAAAGAACATTATGTTCAGAAGATTTCTAGCACTTCTGGAGGATGTATATGGAAGAAAACATGTAATACCAAAAAATCTCATTACTTAAATTCAAGAAAAGGAAAAAGGCTTTAAACAGGATAGTTTCGTCAACAGTGAAGAAAAATATAGCATATACTTTTAGTAAACTGTGACATTAGCTTACCTTTTGGACAAATCTATGAGTCCCCACAGAAGAAAAGGCATCTCCAGATGGCATTGATGTAGGCCAATGTAACCTGACCTTTTCACTCTGTGACTAAGAAAACATATTGTTAAATGGGAAGGTTTCGAAGTGTATTTTGCAGCTTAAGAATGGATAATATAACATTTAATTACTGAACACTTTAGTTCTTACAAATATTTGAATTATGAAGTTACTCTAAAGATACAAGCCTTGCCAAATCTTGACACTTCATGTATCCCAATTTTCTTCTTTTGGATTCCACAGATACTACCAAGGATTAATTCTTTTATTTTTGCTCCCAGTCAGCATTTCTAATACCAGCATGGCACCATTTACCATGAATCAACCTTAACACTGCTACCAAAATAATTTTCTTATCCAAACTCTGGCCAAATTATTCCAATCATTCCACATCATCAGGGCCTTGGAGGGCTTTATTATTTGAACCAATAATCATTGTTTACTTCAGTTATGTTCAAAAGAACATATTATGTATATCTTTGTCTCCTTTCCATGAAGGTATTCTGCCTTCATCCCATCACCTCACTCTTGTTAAGCTGCCACTTAACCTCTTGCCTCCTTCTCAGCTTGCCTAGTTTCTTCTTATTCAATAAATATTTACTAAATATACTGTACCAGAAACTATGCTCTATTGTGTGTGTGATTATCTTTGTTATATCAATGTGCCTGGCTCTTAGGCAAAGAAAATCATGGTCTGTTTAATGACTTGTTTTTATCTACTAGAGTGTCAGGAATAGACATATTAAATGAGTTGATCGCCCTGTGAATATTTCTTTTTTCTAAAGCATACAGAAGTTTTTATTTATTCTCTTCAACTCCAACTCAACCACCATATTGATACTCAGTGGAGGAGCATTTTAGAGCCAGAAGGGATGATCTGAATCATCTTGTCCAACTCCTTGTTTCACAGATTAGAAAACCAAGGCCCAGAGGATTTAAGTGATACGTTCAGAGCTACACAGTTACTGGCAAAACTAAGACTAACTTGTCTTGACCTCACAGTTTGCTATTCTTCACGAAATAACACATCTTAGATTAAAACAAAAGCGAAAACACAGTGAAGGGAAAAAAAACAAAACAAAACACCCAAAACACCCTAAAAAACCAAATACAATGATGCTATTTCAGATATTTCTGGCATCCAAAATTAGACCTTATTTAGGAACTGAAAGTTCTATTGAGTGCTGTGTAGCATCTTTTAGGTATAAAAAATGAGTAATAAGCTTTTATAAATTAATGTGACAAACTTTTCTTCACTGATAAAAAAACAGGGAAAAATAAGCATGAAAAGCAAACAGCCACTATTGCAGATGACTCACCCTCGGATAGATAGATCAGTAAATGGGCATAATAGCCATGACTGCCTTAGCAATCAGAGGGAATAAACAAGCCAATTCTTCTATGCAAGTTAATTTGTAGTATAAAACTGATATACATGCAAGATGCTTAAAGTCTTGAGAAGAATAACTAAAATTCATCTTTAAGTACCATCTAGTGGTAATATATGGTAACTGCATTGTTGCAGAATTAAAGGTAAAGGATCAAATTAATCTTGAAACTAGAGTTAAAGAATTTTAGAAATGCCTTCCTTCAATTTCCACAGAAGGAGCTGGGTATAACTGCTGTGAATTTAATGATGAAAAAACACTGAGCAAAGTTAAAAGTGAGGAAGTAATTAAGGTGAAGGTAGTGAAAGCAATAAATGAGTTAATAATAAAAACTGAATGGTACTAACATAGAAGAAAAATAAATTCTTGGTCATCTTCCTTTTGAATTCATATGGCACTTGGTGGTGAAGAGAAATTCAAAGACACTGTTTTACTCAGAGCAAATATATACTTTGTATTAACAGAATGATAATAGATTGGATACTTCAAGGGGAACAGGCAGACTATTTCCATTTAATTTCATGTTAATTATGCATGCTTGCTTTAAACAATCATTAGTCTTCTTTCTATTGCTTGGAAGTTGGTCAATAAAGTGATTTATAAAGATTCTTCTACATTTTTGACTCACTGTAGACGAGAGTTCATTTTTAGGTTATTAGGATCATGATTTCAAATTCTATTTATATGAATAACATACATCAAGGATTTTTAATAATTTTTAATAATATACATACCTGTTCTTCTATTTTATCTTGTCTGTCAAGAGCAGCTTCAACAGCATCAAAGAACTCTTCCTCATTAATCAAACTGTTTGGGCCTTCCTATTCAGACATACAGGGAAAAAAAAGCTGTTGATTCAAGAAAATAGAAAACACTGATAACCCTGGCATTAACTCTAGGAGAAAGTTGAAAAGTGAGCTGACAAACATTTCTGAACCAGTTAGTACACTAGGTAATATTATCACAAAGATGAACAATATATTGCTCTGTGCAAAATCAGGGCACAGCGTGTTACGATTAATTCACTCACTCAGTACTCAAATACTGTATATTGACCGACACTGAGTTAGGGCAATAATCTAGAGCAGGGGGTTGGTGAACTATGGCCTGTGGGTCAATTCTAGTCTACTGCCTACTTTCAGAATGGGCTTTAAGCTCAGAATTTCATTTTTAAATGGCTGGGAAACAATAACAACATTTCATGGGGAATTCCCTGGCGGTCCAGTGGTTAGGACTCTGTGCTTTCACTGCTGAGGGCAGGTTCAATCTCCCTGGTCAGGGAACTAAGATCCCACAAGCTGAGTGGGAGGGGAAAAAAAAAAAAAAAAAAAAAAAAAAAAAAAAAAAAAAAAAAAAAAAAAAAAAAAAATCATGACATGTGGGAATTATATGAATTTTAAATAAAGCTTTATTGGAATATAATCATGTTCATTCATGTATTGTTTATATCTGTTTTCATGGTACAGTGGCAGAGCTGAGTACCTGTGACTTGAGGACTTATCGACAGAAACCATATAAAATTGCAGGAGGGTTTTAAGTACAAAGTTGCAGATCTATAGCCAATGAGAAGTACAGATAGGGCTTCTGAGAGGAACCTTCCTATAAGCAAAGACAATAATATCATAGAGAAAAAAAGGTTGAACTGATGCTTGAAAGCCTGCTTAGAATGGTAGAGCAGTGGTTCTCAATCACTTGGGGAACTGCCTGGGGAACCTGTTAAAATGAAAATTCCCAGGCCCCCATTCGCAGAAATTACTTTTCAGTAGGTCTTGGGTGGAGCCAGGAATATGCGTGTTTAATAAGTCCTCCAAGTAGTTCTAATGCAAGTAGAACCTCAGCTGTATCAGAAGATAAAAATATAAAGAATGATAGCAAAATGGAAACAAGCAAGCTATGTGTGTATCTTGCTGTGTTAAAACAAATTTAAGTAGACTATAAGTGGAACAATAGCTTTGTTGGGGCCCAGAGTAGGCTACCCCAAAATGTGCCTCAGTGGCACATTGATTATTTTGAATCAAGGTTACTCAAGAAATGGCCAGTGCAAGAGGGACACTCTGACACTCCTGTCTCCCTGAAAGCAGGAAACAAATCTCATGTGAAATGTGTATTCTCTGCATCTGGAGGCAGGACACCATTATTGTTAAAGATAGGGAATCTGGTCTGAGAAGCAGGAAACCTATATAAACAAATCTTGTTACATTTTAAATTTACTACTCCACGGCCAAACTCTGTTTCGATTCTTCACTAATTGGGCACCCCAAACCTAAGTTTCTTTGCCCTCACAGCTTTGTTGTTTCTTTGTTGAGAGTATAAAACCTGCCTGCTTTGGCCACTGTTTTGGTCCATTTCTGTGGGACCCACACACACATGAATTAAAATTTGTTTTTCTCCTATTAATCTATCTTGTGTCCATTTTATTATTAGTCCAGCCACAAGAACTAAAGAGGGGCAGAGGGGGAAATATCCCTCTCTACAGCAGCTTCATATTACTATTAAACTTGAGGCAGGAGACAGATGGGCCCCTGGAGCAAACAGCTGGAGTTCATTCTCTGTGGATACTCTATGATGAAAATAGGAGGAGGAGGCTGGGCCCTGCCCAGATAGAAGATAAGAGAACACATATTTCTCATTCTTGAAGTCAGGAGACCTCCCTGACTACACATGCACAGAAAGGCTCCTTGGAGGTCAAAAAGGGAGGGGGCACCACCCCATAGTAAGTGATGCTAACTACCCATAAGCCTCTTCAGTAGAATCCACCTCGGCTAAGCGATGTGCGTGCACACGTGGGAGGACCCTGAGATATACCAAATACGGACTCTGAACCAGGCAAATCAAAATGATTGGCCAAAGGAAACCGGGAAGAAACGCCCCATATAAGTGATTCAAACTACCACGAGGGCGTGACTATCTGAGTCTGTGTCTATCCACACGTACTGTACTCTTTTCTTCCTCCTAATAAACACTTTACTTGTTTCACTACTTTCCGTCTTTGTGGGAATTCTTTTCTGCAAAGCTGAAGGGCCCAGCTGGATCATGAAAGAGTCCTGAAGGACTCCCTTTATAAAGCCAAAACATTTCAGACACTTAAATGACAGCAGTATCACTTTGGTCTCTGTTGATATGAGAAAAATATAAAATACCCCAAATCTATTCTGAACTCAAACGTATTTTCTAATGATTTAAAAATTCTATTGATCATAACCACAACTACACTTTAAAAAACTGTAATACTCATTCAATCTATTCAATTACATCAGAGTCTCAGGAGTTTACCAATTGGGAACTACAGCGTTAAAAATCTGAGGGAGAACTAAAGTAATTGGAATAAATTTTCCTTTATTAAAAAACTTAAACACTTTTATCTCATCATGCTTACCAAAGAAAAGAGCTATTTATTGCTGAATCTATGGGACACTTCACAGTCTTTATCTACTTGCCCTAATTATTAGCAGCATTTCTTATGTTAATGACTCTCTTTGGAGCCATCTTTCCCCTGGGAGTCTTAATTTCCCAGTTCCTCTCTAAGTAAGCACTGTTCTTTGGGTTCCAGGCCAGGCTCCTCCTGTCTACCCCTTAAACGTGAGTGCTCCTCAGGGTTCCACACTTGCTCTCCCCACAGCATTCTACTCATTTCTGTGACTTCAGTCATCTGATGATTCCCAAATTCATAACCTGTCCATCTCTCTCCTAAGTGTTAGATCTTTACATCTAATAATATATAAGATGGAGTGTTCAAGTGAATGTTTCAACTCAGATGCATCATGTCCAAAACCTGTTCTTCCCTCATCTCCATACCAATCTATCTAAGGCAGAAACCTGGGCCTGTTCTTGAATCCCTCCTTTTTCCCTCATTCAGTCACCACACCCTTCAATTCTACCTTCCAAATATCTGATTTGTCCATGTAGGCTATCTTCAATTCTCACCTGTAATACTGAAAAAGTCTCCAAGCCCTCAGTCACAACAGTCAACTTCAGTCCACTCTCCTCACTGCAGAAAGTAAGAATGACTTAAACCCATTGCCTGAGGATACTGGTTCTAGCCAGTCTTGCCACTCCTCACTTTTGATTGGCTCTACCCTCCATAGATAAGTGCTTTGCGTTACCCTGCGGCAAAATGCTCTTTTTCTTCTGGTCTCCAAATGTCTTCTTTCTTCTCAGCCCCTATAAACAAACACTTTACAGGCTATTCACCTGGTTAACAAATACTCAACTGACTCATTCTTAAGGTTTTAGCTCAGACTTCCTTGCATCTGGAAGCCATCCCTGACTCAATATCTGTGTTCACAGTGTTAAAGTGATCCATAACATACATTATTCTAATTGCCTGTTAACTACTCTGTGTCCCCATTATGTACCCAGTTAAGGCCCTCAGGCAGAACTCTTGTTTACCTTGTTCCTTGCAATATCACCCATGCCTACCAGTGTCTTACATTAGTAAAATCTTAAGGCATGGATTTAAGATTATAATTTCTGAGGCTACAGATGATAGAAACATTTAAACTTTGTTCAATAACTAGAACATCATGAATGTTTGATAAGGACCAAAACAAAGTCATATTTTGAATTAGTGTCTAAAATCCATGCAAATGTAGTATGAACACAAGTAAATATAGATGGTTCAAAACTCCAAAAGGGGAAAAAAGTGTAAAAACAGGCCCTAGTTTATTTAAGAATTACATAACTTGATACTACAGGGATTTGAAATAAAATTCATACTTTATGGCAAGACAAGAAAAATTTAAATGTAAAAAAATTTTCTCTGCCCTTTGGCCTCCTCTTTCCCCCCTACTCTGTACTGTATATCTGCATTATGCATCCTGACCAAATCTTCCCCAAGAATACCAGCCCAATCCTAAGGTGCAACATTTTCTTAGCATCAACAAGACAACTCCTTAAAAGATAACCCTTTCTTGAGCTTGTAAGGGGTCACATGACTACAACCTTGTTCCTGTAAAACTGGATTGTGTAAACTGTCAATATTACGTCATTTGATGTACCGCCCTCTGTCTCAAAAGACTTATACTACTGTGCTTTGACTTCTAATGGGCAGAACAGTTCTCAATTTGGCTCAAATAAAATTTCCATTTCTTTCTCAGATTGATTAATTTTTGTTGACATGCATGGTTTAGCTGGCAGGATATCAGAGATACCCACTAGTGAACACCTGGAGTCGACCCAGAACTAGCGCTCAGTACCAAGCATGGGTCCATTGAGCCCCACCAGCTTCTCAGTACTCCTCAGGTGTTCTGGTGAGCTCTCCTAATATCTGGATCTCATTGTTTGAGTAACGATCCTGAAATTTTATTTAAGCTGCTTCACTTAAGGCTTGGAGTCTTAAGGGGCACTGGTGCAGTTCTTGGGCAGGGCTTCGGGGATCTGGACAAGGGGCCCAGGAAAACATAGGTGGCTGGGTTTTTGTTAAATTTGGCTTACATTGAAAAAAATGAGTTGATATATGTTCTGAACAAAGCTTTTGCTAGTGAAATGAGAGAATGAATTATTCTGCTCTGAAGAGTAAGGGAGATCCACTACAACCGTTAGGTAAATACTGCTCATCCGACGGGGCACAACAGAGGCTGATAACCTAGTGCTCTCAGCACCCATGGCAGTTTTAGACTGTCACAGGGAGAAAATGAGCCATGTACAAGAGTCAAACCAACCCAAGGTTAACTCCTTGGGGCTAGACTCAGAAGCAGCACATATTTGATCTACCACACTGTCCTCAGAAAGCTGTGCAGATCATATCTCATATCCCATATCTGAATTAGGCTACGAAATAATGGGAAATTGTGCCTCAAAGGCCAAACAGCTCCCAGATGGA